GGAGGAAGTATCTACCTTACTCTGTTGCCTCAGTATCCCTGTCTATAAAACAGCTGTTAGCAGTGATACTGCAGTGCCCTGGGGCTCGAGGAGTGGAGTGTTCCTGTATTATTTCCTATTATTCTTTTTTGCTGAAGCACCATTAAAGGTGAAGGACCAAACTTCCTCTCAGCTTCAGCCTCTGTTGACTTTAGATTGACATCCCCAAGGCACAGGCTCCGTGTCCTGAAATTCTCCCTTTGTCCTGGCTCTGGGAAGCAAAGAGAACACCCCAGGACACAGACAGTAGCAGCCAGACTCCCAGATGTTCCCAGCCCTCCAACTTCCCCACTGTGCAGATGTTCAGTTTCAGCAAAGCTTCCCATGAAAAGTATAAGTATCAACTCGCTCGATTTCTACCCCCAGGAAAAGCATTTTGAAATAACTTGGCGAATCCAGGAGGAGTAAGAGTGCTGGAAACTTAAGTCCCGCATAAGGTTTTATTTTCCTGCCAGAAGTAACTCAAAGATTCCCCTTTATCTCCCCAAAGATGATTGTCTCAGCCCTTTGATGTAATTTGGGAATTGCGGGCACACCCAGGAGCATTCAGGACTGCTCAAGTAATTGAAGAGTGCATTGGGCTCATTCCTCCTTGTTCCTGGGAAGGTAGATCAGTGCCATCTGATGGGTGCCATCCCAGGGAATCCTTCCCAGCCCCAGGGGTTGTGAGTGTCACAAGCAGCACATGGGTTAGGGCTCTGCATGCATGGTGAGGCAGATTCCCACAAGAGGATCAAGTGGGACTTCCCCCTTCCCAGCATAACACAAGCTTTGCAGAGACTTGTCTGCAGCAGCCTTTGAAGAACGGGAGGGTGGATGAAGTAGATGCAACACTTCCATATAAAGTTAGTTTTGTGTGCAGTCGCACCGTCTCTTGTTTGCAGGCATGTTTAAGACCCTGTGGTACCACATTATTAACCATGAGAGATTTAGAATGTGTCGGAAACTGATTTTCAAAAAGTGCAATGAGCTGTCCCTGGCTCCCTGTGCCTCAGCTCTTCTCACAGCTCTTGAGCTGTAGTGCTGTGTTCAGAAGACATTTCTGTCCTGAGCAGAGCTGTGGAGTTAGTAAAACCAGTGCAGTCTCCTGACTGCTGTCAGGCACCCCTACCTCTCCATTTGGAACTAAGCAGGTATGCCTGTTACAGAGGTTTAAATATACATTTATGCTTTTTGCTTCCTAATATTCTTTCTGCCTTCTTGTGGAGTTCTGTTACAAAATGTAGGAGCAGGGTGAGAGGAACAGGCTCCCTGGAGAAACTCCCTACCTAATCCTGCTGTCCTGGGATACTTCTCTCTGCCAGTCAGTTTGCTCAGATTGCTACAAGGAGTTCCATCTTTGGGGTACTAAATCTGTATTTCTTCTCCTGGTCTGTGGAGTCTAGCCCATGTGCATGGCTTTTGTTTCCCCTCAGTTACAGGTGTGAAGGGACAGTGTCTTTGTCATGCTGCACTTTGAAACCAGCCAGCAGGCAACATCTCACTTTTTAATTATCACAAAAAACTTCCCTACTGGGAGTGCATCAGCTCACACACCCTACTAGGGCTGCTCTACTTGATAAGAGATGCAAGTATCTTGCCACATATTAAAATTCATGGCCATTTCAACCCCAACCATATTCTACAAACTATTTTTGTGATTTCTTGACATTGTCTCTCCCCCTGATTTGTCAGCCAAATGTACAGGGAGTATACTGTGTAGCAGCGAAGATCTGTGCAAGTAAGAACTAATTCTGGCTAGTGTTATTTAGATCATGTGGTTAGCCCAGCATATGGAAAAATATTTCCCTTAGTTTTTAATATGGTCAGAAATAATGTAAAAGTAGAACATGGGGAAAAGCCTAGGGATTTACTTCTAAGAGCCATGTTTCTGGTGCCAGGTTTACAGTGGGGCATAGCTCTAAATCTCTGAGTTAGCAAGGAGTTACCATAATGCTTTGCAGCATCTATTTGTTTGAGGGAAGGTGGCATGAAGGGATTACCATATTTCACAGTGTATAGGTTGACACGGTATATAAGTCAACCCCCAGCTTTCTGATTTGAAAGGTAAGGATTTTTATAGGAACAGTATATAAGTCATAGCCAGGCTCAGCGATCAGCTGGCTCGACCCCATCCTTTGCGAGCAGCGCTGCGAGCAGGGGATGGGGCCATGCCAGCCAAGCACCGAGCCTGTCCCTGTCTGCTGCGAGTGACACTGCCAAGTGCTGAGCCTAGCGCTGCTCGTAGGGGACAGGGAGGGGCTCAGCACTCAGCTGGCTTGGCCTCATCCCCTGCAAGTAATGCCGGGCTCAGGGCTCAGCTGATGTGGCCCCATCCCCTGCAAGTGGCATTGGTGCAGCTCAGGCAGTGCCGCTTGCAGGGGATGGAGCCGCACCAGCCAAACACTGAGCCCGGTGCCACTCGCTGGGGACAGTGATACAGTGTATAAGTCAAGGTCGAATTTTAAGAGTTAAAAATTGGACAATGAAATACGGTATATGCAAAAGCATCACATACATAGAATGCATGCATTGCTGCAGATGTTTCCTGTGTCTGTCCTCTAAATTTCTCCCATTCTGTTTCTGTTTGCGCTATTTGAAATAAACTGTTGCTTGTATGGTGTCTCTAGCTAACAAAGGTTACTTTATGAAGCGTCTTTTGAAGAAAGATGAGTTTCAGGCTTTTTGTTCAGCATCCTGGCCTGCAGAGGGGCTGAGTGTTATCGTTTTTGCTTGTTTTTTAGGTTTCCAATGACGCTTATTGCTGCCGTGTCTGTGAGCCTCACAAGTCTGAATGAATTCACTCTCACCACTGCCAGCCCTTCAGCAAGTATTTCACAGATAGAGGAACTGAGGTATAGCAGCCAGCTTTTCAGGAGGGCTTAGCCCAGGGGTAGGCAAAATGGGGCCCATGGGCCGGAAGCAGCCTGCCTGGCCATTCTATCCAGCCCGCACGGCCCCTAAAAAATTTAGAAAATTAATATTTATCTGCCCCTGACTGCCTGTCACGTGGCCTTCAATGGCTTGCCAAAACTCAGTAAACGGCCCTTTGCCCAAAATAATTGCCCACCCCTGGCTTAGCCCCAGTTGCTCCCATTTATGCCTTGTTCAAACTAGGATGAAAAACAGTGTTAGAAGGGGAGAGCTCACATTCTCCAAGGCATGCTTTCGAAAAGCCTGACCTGGACAAGGCAGTGTCGTCTTTACCACCCACTGTCTGGGTCCAGTTGGAGCTTTGGTTCCCCAGGGCTTCCAGAAAGACTCTTCAGGCACTGTGGCTCTCATGCTTTTCAAGCACTGTGGCTCTCACTGTTTGCTCACATGCTTGGCCCTGAGCTGGGTAAGGCTGGGATGAGAACAGATTCTCAAGAAGCCTGTTCAGGATCACAAGGAAAGTTTTGGGGTCCTTTGAGAATCCATCCAGGACTTTCCTGGAATTCCAGCGCTTCTTTTCAGACTGGGGACTCCAATGTACTTTGTCTCCAAAAGGGAAACTCCCCATCTATCCCCAGACTTTTGTCTCCAGAAAAATGGACTAATCCTTGTGGGGCTTTCTGAGCCATCCAGTTGGGTTGAAACTTGTCTCACTTCTCCTCCTGCAGGCCATTCAGATCCCTCATCCCACACACAAGTCTTGTTCCCTGCAGCTCCATGCATTAGCCCAGAAAAGTTTATCCAGTAACTCTAGCCCTAATGGATTTTCAGCAAAGCCTTTTAGTGCAATGAAATTGAAACTGGCCATAGTGGTTTTAAGCATGCTGGCAGTGAAATATAGAATTACTGGGTCAGAAGGGACGTGCTTTATTTGGCAGTCCTTTTGATCCAGAGAGAACCTTGAGCCATGCAGCAAAATAAAAGGGGAGTCTAATAAGTCTTTAAGAGAGCAGAGAAACCCTATGTGCTATCCTGCGGAGAGCAGTTGGGGGCATTATCCACAGAGAATGCCTGCAAGAGTGGAATCTTTGTGAACCGAAAAAGACGGGTGTTGAAGGACCACATGACTCAGGAACACTCCCACACCTGTGCGGCAATACCCACCCATTTGAAACAGTATCTTCAATCCCTGTAAGGTCACTCTCTCCTCAAGCCACAAAAGGTTCCAAGTTTGTGTTTGCTAACAGAAGCCCAGGAAGCAAAACAGACTCTTTTTGCTGACTCCAGTTGGCTTTGGACTGGATGGTCAGCTAAAGAGTGACAGCTGTAGCACAATATTGGTAATTAATGGCCTCAGTACACTCCTGCAATATTGAGTTTTGCAGCTGAGTTGTGTTGTATGAAAAAGTGTTTTCTTTTACCTGCTTAGGCATCTCCACCTATTCATTTCACTGACTGACTCCTTTCTGTATTGTGAAACAGAGGAAACAGAAGCTCCCTCACTGCCTGCGGCGAAAGCAAAGTAAGTTGCTTCTCCCAAAGCAAAGTCATCTGCCTTGCACTCAGGGCCTAGTGATGGAAAATTATCATTGTGCAGTAAAGGGGGCAGGGCAGTACTGTGCATTGCCTGCTCCACACCTACATATCTCTGTTCAATGATATATGCAAGTTCAGCCAGGTAGCTTAAGCCTCTTCATCAAGGACTATAGCTCTGTAGGCAATAACTTTCCCCTTGTGGACCACCTTTGCAGGGTGCCAGCCACTCTGCCATCTGGACTTCCTTAGTGTACACGTAAACACGTAAAGTCTGTCTTGCATCAGAGCATCTACCATGTGAGGGTCTCACTCAACATACCAGGGGAGAATAAAGTATTTTAAATACAGAAAAATTCTGCAGAATGACAAAATTTGGTGTGGCACCAAGGGATACAAGCAGGATCTAAAGCCAATTGGAAGTCCTTTTTTAACAGACTGTGTCACGGCAACAGTCCCCCCTTTTTAAAGTGCATTTCTGAGATCACGCTGACAAATAAAAGGCACATTTCTTCACACTGCACTGGCTAGAAAAGTAATGAGGAAGTTGATCATTTATGTAGCTACTGGGGGCTGGTGAGAACCAAAGCTGCCGGAAGCAGGGTGTGTCAGTCAGATGCTTTCAAAGCAGCATCACACTGGAGCATTGCGTAGTTTTTGCACCAGGCGTCTTCCTCAGGCTTATTTTCTAGTGCACGTTTGATCCCAGCCTTTGGCGACATGTGCTTTCCCTA